GGGGGGGGCCTGTCCCGTGCCCCCCCCCCCCCCCCCACCGACCCCTGTAGACTTACGTGGAAGTAGCTGTGGGAGCTGCTGTCCACCACTGCTTGGCTGCCGCATGCATGTATGGGCACGTTTTCCCCCTGCCTCCAGTCACTATTCCTGCTCCTCGCAGCCCCTTGCAGGATGGAACCCTGCCAGCCTGCAAGGGGAAAACCATGTTTTTGCACAGGGAACAGAAAACCCGGATCCATGTTTATCACAACCTTGTCTGCTGATGTTGCGAACCCATTTGGGGTTTTGACCCACAATTTGGGAACCACTGGCATAAACATTGAAAAAAATCCTTATTCTTTTGTTGCTTTCGCAGACATACCAACCCCATTGTAGAAAATGGACAGATCCATCCGTGCCAAAAAGTCATTCAGGAGGTAAGTGACCATCCATGTTAGCATAGGGGCCCTCTTCCTCCATCTGTTTGTTCTTAATATTAAGTCTAGGTGACACTGGCAGATCCAGTTCGTCACAATGGAGCTGTGGGTTTGGGCTGGTGAGTAGGAATAACCTTCTAGCAGAGCTACTGCCATTCTTCCTCCTCCTCTTCCCAGGAGGGATCTTGGGAGAGGTGTCTGGTCTAGAGCCACTGAAAAACCTGGTTGTGGAATTTGGTTTCTGGGTATGGCGTGTTGGGAAGATGCTGAGCAGTACAATTAACATTGTGCTGTGAGACCCCTGGGGCAGTGGCTCTGGAAGGGGTCAGGATCCCTGTATATGAACATGTCTGTCCCAGAGAACTCGCCTCTCTGTCAGTTGGAGGTTGCATTGCTTTCACAGGGGGTGTTTGATTGGTAGCCACAGTACTTGGGTCGTCTTTGGCTGCCCTTCCTGCCTGTCTGACGCTCCTTGTTTTCCTCACCTAGATCTGGCCCGTGCTGTCAGAGACCCTGAACAAACACAGTGCCGATAACCGCATCGTGGAACGCTGCTGCCGGTGCCTGCGCTTTGCTGTCCGTTGCGTGGGCAAAGGATCTGCAGCCTTGCTGCAGCCACTGGTCACGCAGGTAAGGAGGCCATGGGCTTTTCAAAGATGTGTGCAGACACTGACAACCTCACAGCATGCAAGTGTGCACGCGCATTAACTGGCAGCAGCAAATGAATGTGAGCCTTGGCATTTACAAGACTGAATCAGTTGTAGAAAGGGTTTCCAGTCTGAAAATCTGCTACAGAAACAGCTCCTGATCCAGCTGTCCCTATACGAGCGCTCAAGGTTAAGGACAAAACGGACCCTTTTTTTGTACCCATTCCTCAATAAGATGGTCATAGCTCCGGGAGACTGGTACGGCTGGGAGCCCTAAACCTGCATGCAAAGCTCAAAATACCTGGGAATTAGTGAGGCCGAACTGAGGTCTCTTAGGTGAGATTTAAAACTCCTTGGTTCTCTGATTAATACCTTGATACTGGAGAGAGATGCAAGATAAGAGGAAGCTGTGCTGGCTTTGGGAACGCAGGTTAGGCTGCCCCATAAAGTTAGGTTAAAAATCAAGTTGAACAAACAACCCTTGTATCCCACTGCCCCAGGCATTAGCACTCAGAAGCAGGGCAGTAAGGAATCCATCATTCCTCCAAAAACAGTGGAGAGTGCAAGAACAATTTTGAGAGAATTATTCTGACACATGTTCACGAGGGGCCAGCAGGGGAGATTATGCTTAGGGGCAACCAACATGGGTTCATTAGAGGCAGGTCCTGTCAGACCAACCTGGTGGCCTTCTACAACCAGGTCACCAGATCATTAGACGCAGGGGTAGCAGTGGACATAGTCTTTCTGAACTTTCAGAAGGCCTTCGACACTATCTCTCACCCCGTTCTCATTAAAAAACTGGGGGACTGTGGTGTTGACACCCACACAGTCAAATGGGTCGCCAACTGGCTGGAGGGCCGCACCCAGAGGGTGCTGCTGGAAGGGT